CACACACACACACACACACACACACACACTAATTAAACCCAGAACAGGTAAGTGATAAAATCTGTCCAGGACCAGAATCCATATTTCTGGACAACACAATGTCTTTCAAAGGATGAAAAGCTGCAATAATATATTCCTCAGATCCCTCTCTTTCTCTCCCTTTCTCCCAGCAGCAGAGGTCACAACCTTGACACCTCCTGCCTCCTGCCGGGTGTGTCCCATCCTGGCTCATCCTAACACGGCTGGAAGATCTGTAGAGCATAACTTGATGTTTTTCCCTTTCCACTCAAAAGTCTTCAGCGTCTTGCCATTACATAGGACATAAAGAATGAAATCTTCAGTCCAGCATTCAAAGCCCCCACCATTTAGTTCTGACTATATCTTCTTTTTACCTCTTCTTAATATGACTCTTAATCCAATCAAACTGAACCATCCACTCTTCTTTGTGTGCATGACCTGAGCTTTCCAGCCTCAGTCCTTTGCTCCTGCCGCTCCATTCTGAGTATCACATCAAACGTTGTTCAAGGTCCAGCAAAAATGCCAATGAAACCTTTCCCAGCCGCTCCCAACTAGAAGTCATCTCTCTGTTATTCTTGTCCACATTTTATCTTAACTATCTCTTGACGTATCTCTCTAGTTCATATCTCCCACTAGACGGCAAGCTTCCGAGGGGAAGGAACATGCCTGATTTCCCTCTTCACTACCACCATCCTACCTTGCTCCTAAGGAGTTGCTAAACCAAAAAAGTCAATGGATATATAGGAATAATGCATCTTTTGAAAGAGTTTTCTAAAAAACCTACCAACGATGCTAATTATGTTTTCAGTTTTAAACTAAGAGGAAAAAACATGACTATGGCAAGGCTGCTTTTATAAAGCAATTTTCAATTATTTTTCTTACATCACAGTTGCAGAACTGCCTGAAAACCCTTCTTCCACTCTCTATACTAAAATACTAGTTGGCTGAGTATTTAAACTTGCTCCAGTCAATTATAGAACAATAATACTTCAGGGAAAAAAGGTCTTCAAGAGTCATCCCATGTCATTCATACCCCCAACCCACATATAAAATCTCTCGGGGAAATAACAACTTACCATATTTTAAGTATCTCTTAAGATAAATTGCATAGAATTCCTGGTAACCCATTCCGATATCATTATTATTATTATTATTATTATTATTACTATATCACCATCTCCCCACTCCCTCCCATCTGGCAACCATCAGCTGTTCTCTGCATCTATGGTCCGTTTCTATTTTGTTTTGTTGAGACATCCTGACGTCGCTTGACGCTCTGTGTTACAATATTACTCCATGATAAGTTAAACTGCGTTACTCATACTATTATTTCATTTGTCTCTTGAGAGGAAGTGCAGCACAGTGTTTAAGACACATGGCTCTCTCATCCATAAACTGGGAACAATAACAGTACTTATCTCATAGGATATTTTCAAAGATTTGATGGCATCATATATGTAAAATATTTAGAACAGTGTCTGAAACCTAGTGACTGGTATATAAATGTTGCTGTCATTATTTCTTCTTACGTTTCTTTGAATAAAGATTGATAATAGTTTGATACATAGGCATTCAGACCTGGAGGCTTTGAATAAATGCATCTTTTTCTAGACTGAATAACCACAGCTCCTTTACATTATGTGTTTCATCAGACTAATTAAAAAATTTTTTTAAATCCCTCCAGTGGTCCAGTGAAAAGAGTATTGTTCATATTTTGCTATTGCAACAAGGATTTTTGAACCAAGACTCTAAAGCCCCATCTATTTAACATAGATCATTATAGGGCCATTCTCCGTGTTTGTCAAAATGGGCATGTAATATTGCATAAGACAAGCAAGAGCCTCACCTTCGTGGGTTGTACGAATTTTTACTTGAAGAAACAGACTCTTTTTACCATTAACCCAGTCACTTACCACTCTTTCGAATTCTCTCTTCCAACAAGTCCGCATGACCAGCTGGAAGTTTCTTATTGAAAATCTCAGCTGAACGGAGGAACATAGCTTCCACTGCAGACCCTTTCAGCAACGCAATCTGATCTTCGTGGTCCAGTGTCTGAAATCCTGGGTGAGGTTGATGACCAAGTCAGTACCAAGGAGTTGTGAGCGCTACAAAACAGCATGTCATCACCGCCGGCATCCCCGCTCATGAAACATTTTCATTAAAACTGCTTGTAGTTGTTTTAAGATTGGGGAGTCAAGTTGAGTCAGTAAGTATCTATTGTGCTCTCCCAAATAGAAGCTGACTTTTATCCCCATCGAGTGGGATTTGATGAACAAGTTGGGCAAGAGAAGGCGTCCAGCCTACACCGAATATTTAGATTATGGCAGAGACAGGCTGATACAGACGAAGCAACCCTCGAAAATCAGAGGCAAGCAGACTCTCCGTGAGCCACTAGTTTAGCTACATCTGGTGTCACAGCTCAACTCTGCAGAATGGGAATAGCCACAAGCCCGAAAACTCTTTAGGTGGATCTGGAGGTGTAAAGAAATTTTTGGCCAATTCACGAATCTTTAGTCAATCCGGAGACTGAGTCGCACTTCCAATAAAAGACCTAATCGAGGTCATGTTGAGGTGTCTTCTCCGAGCTCAGCACTGTGCCGTGCAGGGCGGGGGACATGACTGATGTAACGAATGGGAAAGAAACACAAGCTCGTGTGCACATGCGGACACACGCACGCCCCGTGGGTAGAGATAGAATAATGCCTTCGGGCCTGAGTGGCTTAGGAAAGCATTCAGTAGCAATGGGAGTTTAGAGAAGAGTAACACTAAGGCTCAAGAAGCAGTGTCCCCGTGTCAGAGACTCAGCGCTCCTCAGAGGGCCGGAGCCACGCCAGGCCTCTAGCACCCTGGACAGGGCTCGATGAACCCCGTGGCCTGACTCCACTTGGCCCTGCACAGGGCACTTTCACTATCAGTCTTGCATCACCATTGTGACTATTTGTAATGATGACATTTCCATAATTATTATTAAAATATACCTTTTCTTTCTCAGGGTTTTTTTGCCTTTTCTTTCCTTCTGTATTTTTAATTTTTTCCCTCTGCCTTACTCACTAAACACACGTATATTGCACTCCTTTGGTCCCTCAGGAGCCAGTCCAGGCACAGGGTGGAAGATGTGTGTAAGATATTGCCACTGCTTTCAGATAAGCTCCCTTCTTATGAGTAAGATTTTTTTTTTTTTGGTCTTCAATTATTTCTTGGTTCAAGACCAACTGACCATTTGAACTGAAAAATCTTTTTTCATACACAACAAAAACCATCCTATTTCTCCCTTTCCAATTCTCCTCCCACAGTTTCTAACTCTTGAATAATCTTGTTTTTGATCAAGAGTGCCTTCAGTTTAATTAGCATAGAACAAATTAAGTTCCTCTTTCATTGTTAATAAAGAAATGAGAGAATGTTAATGTTTCGATGATAACAAGAACTTCCCCCCACATTTTATGAATTTTATGTAGGCTTATGTTTATCCATGACACATTTAATAAAATAATAGCATAATGCTGGGAAAGAAGGCAAATTACCATGTTTAATTAAAATCCTATGTCATAAGTTACCTTCTGTAATTTAATATTATAGTGTCATGTAGCTATACTAGGTATTTATTATACTCTTCTAGACCATGAGATTTTAATGTACTAATATATATTTAAAACACTGAAACCACCTAAACCTATGGACTTAGATTGTTTTGAAGCTGTGTCCGAAAGAACTGGAGGCTGGGAGATAAGAATCTTGCATCTAATAATTCTATTCTTGCTCACACCTCATTATATTTTCACAAGCAGATTTCTTGACTTCAAATGTCTCTTCTCTTTTATGTCACCTGAAAAACTCCTTTTTGTTTTATTTTTATTATTATTATTTTTAAAATATATCTTTATTGATTTCAGAGAGAGGAAGGAAGAGGGAGAGAGAGAGATAGAAACATCAACGATGAGAGAGTCATTGATCGGCTGTCTTCGGCACACCCCCAACTGGGGATCGAGCCCTCAACCTGGGCCTGCGCCCTGACCGGGAATCGAACCAGGATCCCCTGGATCCTAGGCCAACACTCAATGGCTGAGCCATGCCCGGCTGGACTCCTTTTTGTTTTAGACTCAACTCAAATATGATTCTCTTAGAAGCCTTTCTGTCTTTCTCAAATATAATCAGCAATTACTTCCTCTCTGTTCAAACAGCACTTTGTATACACTTTTTTTTATTTTATAGCCTTTAATCACTATCTTTGAAGGTAATAGCTAGGTACTTAGTATAGAGTAGGGATCAACAAACACTTATTATGAAATGAATAAGTGGGTGAATCACAACATAGCAAAGTCACAATTTCTTAATTTATCAATTAGGAAGAGTTAACGAAAATGATTTTAAATAGACTACCTGGCTCTAACACTTTATGTCTATAGTAGACAAATTAAATTAGAAGGGAGATAATTCTCCTTTTGCAATGAACAGACCTGCCTCTCTTAAAGTCAAACGAACATATTGCACAATATAGCACAAAAGTAACTGCATGTAAAGATACCTGGTAGCTTTTTTGTGAATTCTACGAGAATCTGTACATGACTGGTAGCCATTTCAGTTAAAATGAGAAAATTTTCTTCTGCACTGAATTCTTCTTTTAACTAAATTTTAAGAAAAAAGCAAGTGATTAATAAGTAGATAAAAAGATAAAGCAATATAAAATCATTAGGCTAAAGATCCAGATTTAGGTAAAATCATTTAAAGACCCAGCTCATATTTTTCAGATCCTTGGAGAACAGTTACTGTTACCAAGATAGATCTGAGACTTCTTACTCATTGGTTACTTAATGTTGCTAAAAGTTTAAATGTGTAACTTAAATTTTCAGCTCTAATCATTTCAAAGCAACACATTTATATATTAATTCCACCTCCAACATAGTAAAAGCCCCAGAAAATATAAACTTTAAACGCGTGCATTTTCGGGTAGTGTACGTACAATTTTATTTGTGATTTCCTGAGGCATCCTCTGTTTGCTGTATGAATCCATAATATAATGTAGAAGATTCTGTTGGTCCGGGGTGAGTTCAGTTTTCTCCTACACTGGCAAAAAAATAAAAGGTGTTAGGGGGGGTGGCTATAGGGCATTTTTTCTATATACATATACACTCATCTGGAGTAAATGAATATCAGAAATGTTGGGAAAGGCCCTAAATATGGCAGGAACTGTACACTCTGATACTTAGGCTCTGAGTGTCATTGCTTTTTCTGAGTCCTTGGGCAAGCCACATCACAATTCGCTAAGTTTGTCCCAAGCTACTCTTTTTCCTCTCTGTAAAATAGGGAAAACAAAATATTTCTTTCATGTATTTCTTAGGAATAAATAATAATCTGGATATGAAGCCTATTGAGCCCATTCATAGGGAAGTTCAGTGAAAGTTCAAGGTTTGGTCATAACTAAGAAGTTTCCACATGTAACATGGAGACTCCCCTTGAGGGTATTTATTTGGAGCAGGGGCTGACACACGGGGGCCCCTGGGCCGAATCCACCCGGTTTTGTAAAGCCACTGGAAGACAACCACACTCATTTGTTCACATATTAGCAATGCTACTCAACGTTGAGTAGTTGAGGTGGAGACCATGTGGCCAGGGCCTAATATATTTGGCCCTTTACAGAAAAAAAATGCTGACTCCTGAAGGTCATCGGCCTGGACAATTCAGACCCTAAACCTCTCTCTCTCCTTCACTGGAGCTTTGGAAGAGAGTGAATCACCGTGTCAGCCTTTTGCTTCCTTACCCCAAGTGTTCCTGATGAAGCACTATAGCAAAATAATACTTTCATACCCAATAATTTTTTTCTGAAATAAATATAAAAGAATAGATCTGAAAAACTAAATGTGGATGACGTTTCCTTTGTCGGTAATGGAATAAATATTGAGAAGGGCGTGACTTGAGCAAAAAACGGATTCTTGGTTTTTCAGCTAATGGCAAATTAAAATCCCTAGACCCGCCCTGTGCTTTCTCCCTTTGTTTCGCCGATCGCACACGATGCTGTGCCCCTGTCTGTCCCAGGCTGCTCAAAGGATTTCCGGTTCGGTGTATAAACTGGATTTTTCAAACTGAGTTCTGATTAAGAAGAAGCCCATTTAAAGCCCAATGGAAAGGCAATTCCGCCCACAGCCGTGGCTCTAACGGGAAGGTCTCCCAGCCGGACCACGACACGCCCAGGAGCTCAGCGGCTGGCGCTGGCAGGCACCGCTGCGTGTTATTACCCTGCATGACTTAGTTGTCGAGGTCACTTGTCGCAAGTCACGTCCTTCGCTGTCTTCGTTAATGGGCTGATCTGCATGCTGCTTCACGTTTTTTCTCAGTCGTTTCGATTTACACTGAATTTCGGTTAACAAGCCTGAAAAAATAAACACAGGGACTTAACCAACCACAGAAAGTACCGTTGGCTGCGTGGTCACAAGGCCGCTGAGACGCAGCCGGGTCATCAGATGGCCCATGCGATTTGGCACAGAGCCAGTTCTAGCCTTTCTGATGTTTTAAGGCTTGGCCTTGAACAAGAAATTTATCCTCTGTGAGTCTCGGCTTTTTCACTTGTAAAATGGGAATACTATCTGCCTTGCAGTGTTTTGTGTAGGTTAAATGTTACATCATTTTTTTAAAATGAGCTTCGTATAAAGGCTGGAATGCCAAAGCATTGTACAAATGCAAGGGATTTGCTCAATAAGCTGAAGAATGATGCTTCCCAGGGAATTTTGCAAGTTATTATTTCAAGACATAGTATTAATGTTATTTTTCACCCATAGCTGCCCCATAAGACATGTATTCAATTTCATATTAAACACATAAGTAATCATGTTGAATAAAACGAATGTCAAGATCTTTTAGGAAAAATTTCAAATCCTGTCCATTTTCATAGTTGTATAAATTATTGAGAACATCATTAAAGATGAAAGCAACTCAAGGGGACTTAGAAATTTTCTTTTGAATAATCCTATAAAATCATCATTAATTTACACTTACGCAGAGCTACAAAAAGTAACATAGAATGATCTCCCACATTCCAATTTAATTTCTTCATTCCCTCATGGTTAATGAAACTAAATCCCAGGAATCTCTTTGTCTGGGGAATTCAGTTTATAGGATCATATGAAAGCTCTGCATCTGTTACTGGACAAGTCCATGTTCATAAATAATGTTATAGACTCTTTACAGGTGGCGCCTTGAAAAATGTCCTCAGAGCTTCAGATGGGACAAGCTCATGTTTAAGTGATGAGCCACATGAACCACCCAGTATCGCAGCAAATGTTTCCATGGCAAGATTGGGTTCCAGCAGCAGCAGCCCCCGTTGCCGTCTCTTGTTTCATATGCGCTGAGAGGAGATTGTGATCGGCCACTATAAAACTTTCATGCTCCCGGAGCTGCATTATTTACACTGGCCTATTTTCTGCCTCCTGAACACATTATTTCTCTGGGGCCGTCCCAGTCACCTGTCCAGTTTGGGAACAATAGACCTGGACTGGCCTTCCAAAGGCTTTTCTTTCGTGTGGCATTCCCTCCCTGACTGTTATCATCCCCTTGGTGACATTTGCTTGTCTCTTTGTGTTTTGAGGGGGAACAGGGCGTATCTCAGAATCTGAGTGGTCTGTAGAATTTGCAGAATGAAAAATTAATATGTTACATCCTAGCATGCATTCCAAATGTTGATGAAGATTACGGTTTCTCACAAAGCCAGCAGTTAATACAGTGTCTTCTTTTATCAGATGGAAAGGCCAAATGATATTAAAACTCGGGGTAGTTAATTTCCTGTGAAAACTTATACAAATTGATTCAGAGCTGCAACCAAAAGCAGGAGGATTCTTAATAAAATGACTTGGTTTAAAACTCTATTTAGACAGTTCAGAGGCAGTTATACCTTATTCTTAACTTTTCCCACAACTGTGCATTTTTATGCAAGTTAAACAATAAATTAAGAAGATATTAAATCAAATTTGGAGGAAGCTTTTAGGCTGTCGTTCTTTGTAGTTTATTAAAATAACGCCACCTCAGTCCACGTCTAAGTCATTGCAACAGTGAACAACGAAACAGCTGCTTCTTTCAGGTGACCAGAACGCTCTTTAGCAGACAGTTTGGATAATGCCAGTGATTCATTATCCTTTCCAAGAACTTAGACGGCTTAGTAAGTAAGTCCCTGNCTTCTTTCAGGTGACCAGAACGCTCTTTAGCAGACAGTTTGGATAATGCCTGTGATTCATTATCCTTTCCAAGAACTTAGACGGCTTAGTAAGTCCCTTNCGAAACAGCTGCTTCTTTCAGGTGACCAGAACGCTCTTTAGCAGACAGTTTGGATAATGCCAGTGATTCATTATCCTTTCCAAGAACTTAGACGGCTTAGTAAGTAAGTCCCTGCTTTAATACGTGAAGCACCATTCTAATTAGATGAGTTACCTGACATCTGCCTTCTTAAGAGATATTTAGTGGAATTTAATTGCTTGATGCGAATACCTCTATACATACATTCAGCCAACATTCCCATCTCTTTGCATTTCCTTAGCCGGCACTCTTGGCACTTTCTTCGCATGTACATGTCCATCACACAGTTGCCTCCGTTTTTACACTTGTACACGGCATTTTTGGTGATGCTTCTCCTGAAGAAACCTGTGGAGGAAACACAGCAAGGAGTCAAAAAGGCTTCTGACACCTTCCACTCAGGAAAACACACGAGGGCTGAGACGCCCGAGCAGTTTCTCAGGAGTGGCAGCTTCCAGGCCACCCCAGAGTGTACCGTTGACAAAAGTGCTTTCGACTGCACTGCATCACCCAGAAAGCTGTTTTTTCATCTATCTCCCCAAAATAAAGATGTGTTTCAATGATAAACCAATCTTAGGAAAAATCTTAGCTAGTCTTTGAAAGATAAATCATGTTCATTATACGGCCCCTGGGGCTCAAGGGTGGGCCCGCGTCCTTACTCTAGGTGCTGGCGGTGCGAGGGCGAGTAGGTCGGCCCTGCCGTCTGGGAGCCTACGGCTGGCCCCGCGCAAGGCCCTGCAAAGAGCCGAACAGTAAAAGTGAGCTTCCTGGGCCGCGCTGGGCAGAGGAGGCAGGGAAACGGTCGGTCCTGGAGGAAGGGCTCAGACTCGGCAGTGAGTGTTGAGCTAAGTCTTGCAAAATGAGTTGCTGTTTACCAGGCAGACGGGGAGAGGTCACATTCAAGGTTTCAGTTCAGTACTTAACATGTCCAGCTTGGGGTAATAATGAAAATGCCAACCTTGATTTAAAAGCACACGTGTCCCCTGCGAAGGTACAGCCGCAGCCGCCTGCTCCAGCTAAGCCGCCTGGAGTGTGTTTGGGGGGGAGGTGACCGGGGCTTCCTTCCCGCTTCCCCTTCCCTCCACTTTCGACTTCTCCTCTCCCTGCGCCATCTGGCTAACCACAGCTCCTGACTCTTCCAGGCAAGGCCGAGTGGCAAATAAGGAGAGGATGGTGGGAGGCGATGGAAGAAGTGGCAGGAAAGCACTCCCAGCGCTGGCCCGTGTTGTTAGGAGCTGGTTTATAGAGCCAGCAAGTCTCTGAAATGGACTCTCTCTTCCTTGGGTTGGGCTCTTTAGAGAACACCTCCCGTCATTGGGATGCTTTCCTCTGAAGTTTCTTGCTGAGGGCAAGTTCATCTCTATTCTAGCCAATGGCTTGTGTCTCCGCCGGCACCTAGGAATCTGGCAATTCACCTCCACCTTCTTGACTCTGACGTCCCTCCATGTGGCCTTCTTACCATGGACTTAAGATAACCCCATCCAACTTTCTCTGGTCCAACAAACTCTGTGGGGCAGAGAAATCTCTCCCACTTTTCCAAAAGCAGCCAGCCAGCCTTCCTCTTGCCCTTTCAGACTTCTCAGGTGAAGTTCAGAGGCCCCGTCTGCAGTCTCCCTCAGCTTCAGGAGATGCGTGCCAATCTCCTCAAGGGATCCTGGTGAAGGCCTTTTCACCGGGCCTCGAGGCAGAAGGGCCTCCTTGGTATATAGAGTTTACCCAGGGCAGGGGGGACACCTTTTTCTAATTCTCACAACAGTGCTCTACGTTCCAGTGATGGACCCCAGCAGCAGACACCCGCACCCCACGTTCACCCCTTTCCAGTGGGGATGTGGGATTCGTAGCACACTAGTCACATGCACCAAAACCTTTGGAGCAACACCGCCCTACAATTTCCAGTTCCTGACGACTTCATACCCTCAAAGTAGGTGAGGTATTTAATTAGATTTTTACTATCCGCTGCAAGATCGGCTCACTTTGGAATGTAGCATCTGGTGTCTCCATGTCTCTGTCAAAATTGAGACAAAAGTCCTTCCTATTTTAACAGCCTGATGCGATAATATTTAAGAATTATTAAGCACTCATTGACTATGATTCTAGTGGACCAGGAGGACTCCAGCCCAGGTGGCCATGCCCCAAAGCCCTCACTCTCAAGCACTGTGCATGCAATAATTGTCTCCCTTGGCTCACAAGAGAGTAGGAGAGCTTAATATTAAGTATCTACTATGCGAAAGCTGCATCCTCTGACCTGGGCGATGCCAACATGAGTAAGGCGCTCTGGTCCTCAGAGCTTCCAACTTAGTGGGAAGACAAAGTAGTAAATTCCCAGCATAATGCAAGATAGAACAATCGGATAGCTAATCAAACAATTCATTTTCAGAATGCAGATGAGAAGCAATCATTTCAGGTCCACACTATATGCTCCTAAAGCTTATGTTAAATTTAAGGCGAGGGGGTAGCAATTTCATCTCAGACATGGAGATCTGCATAGTGGTTATGACAATCTTTCCAGCAGAAGGCAATAGAAGATTATTCTAGTAAGCTAAATATAACAGGACAATTTCCCAATAGCTAGACGCCAAGCGTCTTGAGGAAAAGGTACTATAGGGGCTGGGAATAACCCTGATTAATTCTGAATAGGGGTAATCAGGGCAGAATTCGTGAGGGAAGTAGAATGAGCTGGGTCTTGGGGAATAATTATGATTTTGAAACATAGACTGTGAAGGATAGACATTCTGGGAAGTGAGCGAAGGCAGGGAGTTATGGAAATTCCAAGGAAGTCAGAATAATCTTTCTTGATGGGAGGTTAGCGTGAGTGGCGGGACTAGTGGGAGATGGGTGAGGGAATGTAGTGGGGCAGAAGGTGGTTAAGTGCCCCTGAATGCCAGCCTAAGGAGCTGGGTCCCTGCTGTGGAGAAACAGAAGCCATCAATGGGTTTTGGGATTTGGAGGGTATGACCTGACCTGCATGTTGGGAAGAATCCTCGGTGTAAGGGAAGCAAGGTGGAACAGGGAGGCTGCAGATAGGAGGTTGACCAGCCAAGAGGTGGTCAAGGCCTGGACTTGATGGGGGGCAGGGGTTGTTGAGAACAGGGAGGAGGGGGAGACAGGAACAATCAGGACTTGGTGACTAAGTAAATATGAAACCAGAGACTGAAGAAACAGATGTCAAGGCTAAAAGTGATAGATTTGCCTGTGAACCTGTCAGTTGGTATAACTTGCAGTAGGAAAGATCTTACCATTTTCCTAAATGTCAAATTCAACCACGGAAAGTCTAAAAAAAGGACTGCTTCAGATCAAAGGTGATATCTGGAGTGCAAATACCAAAGAGTGCAATTTAAAAGAAACTATAGGCGAAAAAAGATATATATTTTTTTATAGCAAATCAGTGAGCTCGACGACCACTTTAGCCCACCTGAGTCAATCTTTCTACTAATCTCCAGCCCCTGCCAAGAATAATTCCCTTTAATAGAGTCAGATACTGATAGCTCAATAGTTAACAGAAATAAAATTCCTTACTCCAAGATGAATCAAAGGAACAGTGCGTAGGAAAAATCTGCAGGTATTTTTTACTCTGATATTAACTGAGAAAGAAATCATTATCATCTCAATAGCTGAGTTAATTAGCTTTCACTCTGAGGTGGCAACATTATATTATCACTACATCACTTAAACATGGGTATATATACTGTATTTATACTTATGCAAATCTATCCATACACATCCCTCTGCCTCTATCTTGTGCATATTCAACAATGCCCATATCAGAGAAGTCATTTGAAAATGAATGGAAAGGAAATTTGCTGAGGAACAGAGGCTCCCTGGTAACAAAAGATGAGTCCACAGGGCTGGCGTTGCACTGCGGGGATTCCCGAGCTGAGCAGGAAAACAGCTTTTGGATGGTAAAATGGAGCCCTCAAATATGCAGAATCTTGTACATTCTGCTTTTCTGCTTCTTTATACACACGGAACCCACATACCACACCCTACTCTCAACTCATACACGTGTGTCCATGTGCACACACATGTGCACACAAGCACACATGCACAAGCCAGATTCCAGTAACTGACACCAGGCTACTGATTACTTTGAAGCCATGGTCCCCCAGCCACTTACAGAGGATTTCTTTTGTATCAGGCACTGTCCTAAACACATTACAGATGCCTGTTCATTTAATATTCATAACAATCCTATGATATAGACTTTATTGTTATCTGCCTCCTACAGAGAAGGGGTCTGCGTTGCTCAGAAATAAAGTAATTCACTCAAGGCCCTACAGATAGTAAACGGTAGAGCTCAGATCTGAACCCCGATAGGCTAGGTTTCAAATTGTGCTCCTAACCACTATGTTATGCTGTCTTTCTAGTATGGAGCTTACACTCTCAAAAACTGTCATTAGACATTAATGTTCCCCAATCCCACATGGCATGGTAAGTGCTCCACAGTTTGTTCCCTATTTCCAAAACTTCTTCAGAAATGTCCTATTCTTCCTCCTGCACCCCAGCTGTCTTTTCCACCTCTATGTTGCTGTTAGGAAGCTGCAAAGAGGTACAAACTAAAGAGAGGACTGCCAATACTAAAAAAATAATAATAATAAGCTTTGGTCTCCATCACACACTTTCCTAGTCTTTAGGACCTCAGCTCTTCTCCTTGAGCTTTTTCCTGAAATTTTTAGATCTTGATAATAGGCTCCTGATCACCTGGCAAGAGCTGTTTCAGACTGTTGTTTCTGAAAGAGAAAACCCTCAAACTTTTGAGATGCAGTTGATGGAAATGATTGTTGACTGTTTTGTTCTTGTTGATACTGTTGTAATTAGCTGGTTATTAATCATGTGAAAGGAGCAGAAGGGAGGCCAGACGTTATAAACATGGTCATGTGGGCAGCTTCACCAGGAAGCTGCAACTTTATACTCCCCAGGGAACCACCATTCCCTGCAAATCACTGGGGGGAGAGGGCCCAACAAAGGGGAGATGGATGCATGTGCAGTGAAGACGTAGGGAGGGTGCATGTCAGTCTGACCTGGGAACAAAGATCATTGGTTGGAGGGGGTGGGGCCAGTGCAAGCCCACAAAACTTTGGGAAGACATAATCCCCCAGACAAAGGAGCTTGCTCTCTTGGGGTTCTCCTGTTCCTCAGGTTTTGCTCCCACCTCTTGCATTCGCCCATGTTCCCTCCACAGCCATGTGGCCCTAGAGGCTGCATGGCCGCCCATGGCCGCGCAGACCCCACATGCAATGAATTGATGGGCTGCAGCTGGGAACACAAACCAAGCTGGTCTGATGCTGGATTGGGCTGAGCTCCAACATGGAATACGGAGCTTTAATCTGGGCAACGGCTTTAATCTGAGC